ATTAGGAGAATCACAACAAGGAATGCAGTTAAGACAAGAGAATGAAGTGATTCGATGAGAGCTTGAACGTCAAGTTTATTGCCATGAATGCCAAATCCTCAAGGCATAATAAGCCATTGCTCATGCTAGCATCATTGATCCTTACATTTGCATATATTTCTACGTTTCTCAGAGTTTGCTAGGGCGCCTGTATAGACCTGCTTTTGTTAGAAACAAAAACTCGTCATTTTCAATCGCTTTCAAGCCACCAATATCCACTACCAGAAAGAGACCATTTGCAGGCTGCTTCATCATTTCCATGTACAAATTCGCCTTCAAATGCGAAAGGGAAGGAAAGAAAAGAAGACTTATGCCTTACATGAGCTGCTCATTTAGTTCTGTTTCCCTTTCCTCTCTTTGTTTATGCATGTATAAAAATGTGAATTTGTGTAGATAAACGTGCAGATACATTTTCATTTTTCAACCATGAAAAATTTGCGTCAATGTGCTCATAATCTATGTGAAGATGATCTAGAGAGGATAACCGAGGACTGAATGGAAAAGTTACCTCTGAAGCTAGCTCCAACAGCATAAGCCTTCGACATTACCACTTCTGTCATATCAGCACCATCGAACTTCGCATCTGACATGAGTGCTGCTGCAAGTGACTTCCCCTTTAGATTGGATTTGTCATTTGAATAATCACAGAAGCGAAGATCAATAGGCTTGTCATAAACACCATTTGCTTGACCAATCGTATTCCCAACAAATGCCTTCTCACATCGGTTGGGTTCTGTCGATAGTGGGGGTAACCTCTGCAAGGCAAACATATTGAGTCTAGTAAAATTTAAGAACATTGAAATTAGCTTCTATTAGTGTTGTTACTATTATTGCTGTAGTTCATATGGCAACAACATGCTCTGTGTAAAACACCAATTAAAAAATTAAAAGATCAAAATGCCGGAAGGCATAAGTTCAAACGAAAACAAAGTCATCCACGATTCAACACATTCAACAAGATAGCAAGAGGTGATCTAACAATTCTGCAAGTCCAACAGTCACCATTTTTAAATCGTCCAGAAGTGTACCACAATTGGCTAAACATAAATTTCTGGAAAAAAATAATACAAAGCAAGAGTCCAACACTGCTGCACCCTCTTAGGCAGAATAGCAAGATCTCTATTGGCAACAATTAATTGAAAACATTTCTTTCCAATGATCCCGCTCTTTCAACAACATGAATCCTTTCTCGATTCAAGCCAACACACTTCCTTTCTAACAATTGTGATTTAATAAATCTTCCGAGTAAATTAAGCAATAAATCCTATACCCTTTGACCCAAGTTGCTTTACCAAAGACACCAGCTAGCAAGATCTCTATTGCCAACATATAACATATAAGTGAAAAGATTTCTTGCCAATGATTCACCTCTTTCGACAACATGAATTCTTTCTCAACTCAAGCCGACACACTTCCTTTCTAACAATTGTGATTTAATAAATCCTCAAAGTAAGAAATAAATCCTATACCCTTTGACCCAAGATGCTTTACCAAACACATCAACTAACAAGAGTGGCCATTCCTTTCATTCAAGAAATATTCAGGCTATTTCTACACACCCAGGATTTTTTGCAACATGCCATCAAAAGGAGATATCTCCTTCAAGGTTCAGTTCTTAGCTCCCTCACCCCGACTTCTCCACCAGCAGTCTCTCCAAGATTTCACACAGTTCCCTTTAGATCATAATTGAATAGCTTTGACAATTGCAAGCATATTTAGGCAATGCTTCAAAACTTAAAAGGAATTGTTTTGTCCGAAATATCTAAAATTAACATACAATTTCTATTTGTAGATGCTTTGTTTAATTGTAAAAATAAAGTTCTAAAATGGGTTCTTTCAACCTGACCAGCAGCAATTACAGGTGAAGCAGCAGTCACAGCCCAAGCAGCGAGAATGCCACAAGCCACATGATTAATCTCCTTCTTAAACTGAAACAAGCTTTCCCTTGATTTAGAACCATCTCTACTACCTGCTACTCACAAGAGCCACAAAACCAGCGAATGTTAACCACATTTTAAGTCGCCCAATTAAATAAAAATCCCTGACAATCAACAAATTTGCAAACTCTGAACCTGTTATGAGGATGTGAAGGATCTAACTTACCAGAACAGCAGATTTTGAGAGGTGAGTGAAGGTCTGGAATGGGAAACCGACGGCGCGCAGAAGAGAAGTGATAAAGAGGGAATTTGTTTTGAGAGAGAGGGAGGGAAAAAGTTGCTGTTGCCATTTTTAATCAATCACAGGAGGGAGAGGTTTCTATCTTTGTGTTGTTTGTCTGTCAAGTGTCAGCTCATTGATGATTTTGGGCGTTATCCGTTTGAAAGGTTTGGTTCGAGGATGGACATTCATGCATGCATCTGACGTGGCAGAACACATAGGAACAGGTTGTGTCTTTTGATGCGAAGTCCACTTGTCTACCATTGAACAAAATATCTCGTCAGGATAGACTCATCTCTAACACTGGTCTTGGCATGCTAGTCATACCTTATTTGGCTCTTCATCCGAAAAAATAATAATCTAAATCATGAGGCTACCAAGCCAATTCTTGAATCATTAAATCCATCATTTTATTAAAATAATATATCTTGTTTTTCTTCCTTGTTAATGTTTTAATGGAGTTCGGTTGGATCATTAAAAATCTGGTCGATAAAATCTTGATTAAAATTTAAATTTTTTAATCAACTCTTCAAATTGGGTAAGGCTTGTTTTATATATATATATATATATATATATATATATATAAATATACTAACATTATCCTCCTAATAAATTTTGGAATAATTATATAGAAATTATACTTAAAACAATTTAGTTCCTTGACCAACGAGGATGTAAAAGATGATGACAAGAGGGGCCCAACCAGTTGAGGAAAACAGGCTTTTGTTAAAATCCCAGAGAAAGCAATTGGACACCTTGGTCTTTGGGCTGGTTTGAATTTTTGTCAGAGCCCATAAATTGGTTTGTTTCGGAGAGTCCAGCCCATTCCAACCTGTTAATTGCTTAATTATATTTATATCATCTACATTGGACTTTCTTAAAATGATGGTAATGTGAATTCAACATTCTTAAATTTTCCTTTCTCATAAAAAAATTTATGGAATTTATCTTTAATGAATGTATCAATTAGAACATGAATCAATAACTTATTAATTCTTAATTATTAAAAAATTAATTTTAATATCCAAAACCAATTCAAAACATTTTACCTAAATGTTTTAATTTTTATTAGTCAACTAAGCTATATATATATATATATAGTTGGACACGGCAGGTCTCATGATCTAAAATAATTTAAAATGATATTTTTTTAATATAATTATTTTAATGAGATAATTTAAGATGTAATATGAACTGAATTTTGCAAAAAAATTAAGAAAATTGATCAAAATTTACCTGTGATTTATGTAAAACCTGTTTACTTTATTTATTTAAAAAAAAAACCATATATATATATATATATATGAGTTTAATTACCATGTTATTGATAGTTAAATTAGATGTATTGAAAGCTTTTAATAACATAAACGCAGAGAAAGAAGATTCTTTTCCCTTGGGTGCCAAAGAGTTGGCGACACGAGTACAAAAGAGAACAGAAACATGTGTAATTAACAGGTAGTGGAGTAACCAGGTTCGTTAATCGTAAGTAGAAAGCAAAACCCTAGGTAGTGCGTAGAGTAGGGATCGGCAACAAATGCTATGTCTCTTTGTCGGGTTTTTGTGATTGGATCTATTAGAAAAGTTTTTCTCAAGTTAATAAAAAAAAATTAACCCCACTGATCTCCCAGATCAAAAGGATGTCCATTAGGTTTAAAGCTCAAAGTTCATATGATGCTACTTAGGTTTTGTCCCTTGAAACCCAAGTCATTATTTTTTGTCTCCTAATTAAGGGACCTCAGATATCATCATAAAGTGCTAATTGCATGGTATTAAGAGCATAGTGTGGCCCATTAGTGCTTTAATTCTGTAATCCACATCAAATTAATGGCTTTGTTTCTGTCTTATTTACCCCAAAAGGTATTGGATTATGATGTAAAGAAGCATGTCGGTCTTTAATTATTAAACTCGGTGGAGACATGATTTGAGTCTAAGATGAATAGGTTAAGTTTAAAACATTCTTGTTTTAACAATTTGTTTTAAAAAAAATTAAAAGAGTTTTGATAGGATTGATTAAGTTATAAATAGATTTTTTACGTTAATTAAATTATACAGGGTTGGCTTTCACCAAATTTAATTTTAAAAAACCCTACATTTAATAACACCATAAAAACATTATAAGCAGCAGCAGGTAGAAAACTAACTAATCTACCATAAAAAATGTTGGATTAACGGTAAGCTTGTTAATGCGGTGCAATATATGGGTGTTTTATCTTTCTTTTTTTTAATCAAATGCAGAAATACATGCAAAGAGGAATCCAAGGTCACTAACCCTTTACATGGCACCCATCCATTTGGATGTTTCACATTAAGAAGAATAGAATAGGCACAAAGTTACGATATTCTTTTTTATAATGATTTTATCAACTTGAAGCCGAAGTTTAGAAATTGAAATTCCCATCACCAGCCTCCCATGATAAATCTGTAACTCCCTTGAAATGATTTAAGAGAAGTTCTTGTCTGAAAAGGATGAGATCTTAGGGGTTAATAATTGGCAGTGGCGTCACCTTCCTGCCCCAGCTTGACCTACCAGAACAGATAACAGCTTAACCAAAAACAGAGCAACGAGATTTAAATCCATGCCTCTTTATTTTCTTGTTGATGCATAATTTATTGTAGCATCAGATTCTGATGAGACAAAACCCCTAATTTTCGCGTATTCGCTCTGTTCTTTAGGCTTTTTAGCCAAATGCTGAAATGGGCTAACAGGTAATAATTTATTGTGGCATCAGCATCTGATAGGGTAAAAAACAGAATCTTAGATTGTTAGTGTTACAGAACAGATAGAGAGAGAAAGATAGGAAATGATTTGGTAATAAATCTCTCTCTGAGATAGCCATAGTCCTTGAGATAGAGACACAATTATCAGGCATCCAATCCGAGCACAAATGCTCATCAATTTTCATTTTCCAGGCCACTTCCCCCAACAGTTTACAAGAAAAATTAACCTCTGAATATGTTCATTTACATAACCACAATTGCATATGCTAAACTCAGAGGGCATTTCTTCTAGATTTTCTGAAGACAAATAGCCTCAAAACTAATCTAAGTGATGTTAGAATAAAATTATGAGATACAGTATTACAAAATTCTGTTAGTGGAGAAAAAAGAGAGGAAGATCACCACTCAAGCAATGATCAAAGTTAGTCAACTGCCTGCCAGCATCATGAAATAATAAAGGCTAGAAGCTTTAATCTGGAAATCCAATCACCATGCAAATCGGGGAATCAGCATATACACAAGCACTGGGCTAATCAAACAAGTCATTCAGCTGAGAACAACCCCACCATCAAGCTCAGGTGACATCAACCCTACCAAGCAAATCAGGGACTCAGCATACGTAAGCACTCGGCTAATCAAATAAATCATTCAACTGAAGATGAAGCTTAATACAACCCCAACGTCAAGCGCAGGTGAAATCGACCCTACCATGAAGCATGAAATGGCAGACAAACAATTCAGTCATTCAGATCGGCCAACAAGTTATAATGGCAGAGTTCCCTACCATTTTTCTCCCAAATAAACTGCAACCACCAGCTCTGGATTCCCTCCTCCCATTTTAGCAAGCCAAAGGAGGAGGTTAAACAAAGGTCCCACAAGCACCTCTATAACTATATTATAAAGAGAGAGAATCTCAAATTGGTCTCTCATATCACATGACTTGCACATCTTTTACTGGGCTGAGCAGACAAATTTCTCGTGCAAAAAATATCAACAAATTGTATGATTAAGCTGGGAATCTAGATAGGCTAACCTCAGCCTCTTGCTCTTCCCAAGCTACATAATCATCACAACCAAAGAACTGTTGGCACCTGTCATATGTGCTTCTTTTATAGTACACCCGTGATACAAGAAGGGCCCATCCCCAAATCTCAAACATTCATCTACACTGCATATTTTCGGCAAAAGTTGAGGAAGCTGGCGACTTTTTATGATGTCAAACTCAAGACTAATTGGTCAGCTACGCAACATCAGATTTTGCAGCAGGTAATTCATTAAAGTGAGCCCTAAAAATCCCAACAAATAGGATCAATCTTGATTCTCTGAAGCACTGCAACACCACCATAGGTTAATCAGAAACTGGTAACCCATAATTGTGGAACGATTTTATTCTTCCATCCCACCCTGCAGTCACAATGACTAGACCCCAAGCGTGAGAACTGTCTGCGCTCTGGCATGAACTTTTCAGGAACTTGTACTGGGATTTGTGCATTGCTGATGATGTAGATAACGGGCTTGAAGAAAGCTTTTCCTCTGGCCAAGTAGCGCAACCCTTGGGAAAAGATTCTGAGAAATATTCTTGACTCAGAGAAAAATGAGCTGGAGAAGAAAGAGGCAGAACTTCCTGTGAATTATTGTCAGAGACACGAAAACCCCATCCATTATCTAAGCTCCCACATTTCAATCCACACCAAGGTATAGCAACAGATGCATTGGCAGAGAAATGCTCATAAGACCTTGATTTTTTGGATTGAGGAGTAGCAGGTTGTTCCTGATCAATGTAATTCCACAAATGTACACTGGAATCCTCACAAGCCGAGATAATGTGCTTTCCATCCGAAGTAAAAGATGCAGATATCTGGTTTGCTGTATTGCCTAAAGAGCAGGGAGAAATTTAAGAAAATCAGGATTAAAAATTAATCAGTTTAGATAACTAAGATAATAAAACAGTCTTGTATTTCACACATTTCATAAAATTACAGGCAGCACACCCATTTGGGTTTCACAATATGAAATCTACAAGCAACTAAGGTTTCACACAAAAACTTCTGACTTGTCTGAAACAACATTAATAGATGACATTGAGAAAAACATAACAAAATGGAAGCTAAAGATACGTACTTTTGTATTTGCCTATCACATCAAGTCCTTGAAGAATTCTGACTTGTGAATCAGCACAACTCACCATTACTTTGGTTGAGTCTTGTGGGGAAAACTGAAGTAAAATAGTAAACAACATGAACAGACAAAAAGCAGCTAAAGCAACACTGGAAGGCAGGAGACAAATACCTGGAAGCCAGTTATTCTTTTGCAAGGTGACTTCTTTTTACCAGGTAAGCATATCTGAGCATCAAGTTGCAAGTAACTGTCTGAACCTGGTGAAACTATAGCTCATTTAGTGAATATGCATTTCTTCTTTAAATGCATAAAACCCAAGGTTAATCTGAAGCAAAACTAGATCTTTATTACCATGGAACCTAAATTATTATGAACCTTTACAGAGACACAACCCATTTAAACCAGTAAATTCATGCATAAAATCCATAAAACGATCCCTCCCTACACGAGGGACTACCCCTGTGACATGTAATTC